AGCTATGTGATCTTGAACAAATTAAATATATAACCTTTCAGCATTAGTTTCCTTATCTATAAAAGGGGAGAAATAACACTATAACTTATGGGACAGTGTAAGGAATAAATGAAATAGAGATAAAATATATGAAAAGCTTAGGAGAGTGATTGGCCCATCAGAAGTATTCAATAAATGGTAGCTGTAGAAATAATCTTATGTAACAAACTAATAGGATGGAATAAGTACATCAATCTACATATTAATAACTGAAACACTCATGAACAACAGAATGCATTTGATCAGGTTACTAAGGATTTATTGCTCTGGTATACTTTTTTCTAGCATTTGTTCAGGATTTTTTCTTTCAGATCATGTTTCTGAATCAGGAGAGAACAGATGCCCAATACTGAGGCTGAGTTAGGTACAGGTTTGAATTCAACACTTATCTCACTGGCATTAATAGCATCTGCTTCTAGTTTTATAAATACAAGGATATCTTTATATAAATAGGGAGAAAAAGCTGACTAATTGTGAGGGCAAGGGAAGAACTCTCTAGACCAAAAAATGTTATATATCAGCAAATTTTCAATTCCCATCATTAATAACACTTCTGCGAGGACTTTTGAAGAGGAGACTGACTATTTGTTTTTGTTCTTATTGTGGAAAATTTCAAAATTCAACAAAAGTGAACAGCACAGTATAATGATTCTCATGTACTCATCATGTGGCTTCAACAATGATCAACTTATATGGCCAATCTTATGTCATCTGTACTCCTGCTTCTTCCTTCCAATTATTTTGAAGCAAATCCCAGGCATATTATTTCATCTGTAAGTAATTCAATTCATATTTCTATTTATTTATTTATTTACTTACTTACTTACTTACTTATAGAGGTGAATGGAGGGAGGAAGAGAGGGAAACATTGATGTGAGAAACATCAATTGGTTTCCTCTTATATGCACCCTAACAGGGGACCAAACTTGCAACTCAGGCATGTGCCCTGACTGGGAATTGAACTGGTAACCCTTCACTTTGTGGAAGGATGCCCAACCAACTGAGTCATACTAGTCAGGGCTCAATTGATGTTTCCAAAAAATTCTCTAAAAAACCCATAACCTCAACATCGTTACCACAAATAATAATCAGTGATTAATAATCAATAATCACAAATAATAATGATGAGTGTATAGACTCATCAAATATCCAGTGTCCAAATTTTTCAGTTGTCTATAAATGACATGAACATTTGTTATCGTTCTTTCCCAGATTTCTTTTTTGAACCAGGATGCAAATGAGGACACAGATTGTAATTGGTTGATAGGTCTCTCATGTTTCTTTCAACCTATAGATTTCTTCTTCAGCTCTATTTTTACCTTGTGATTCATTCATTGAAGAAATTGGGTCCTGCATAGTTTCGTCACAGTTTGGATTTTGTTGATTGCATTCATGTGGGGTCATTGCACATGTTCTTTAGCATATTCTTCTGTTCCCTACTTCCTGTAATTCAGTAAATTCCATCTGGAGGCTTGTCCAAATTTAGGTTCTATTTGTTTGGCAAGATATCTTCACGGGTGATATATTCTTCCATCAGGATGCACAAAAAGTATGCTTATCTCTCTTGTGATACTAGCAGCCATTGGTGATCAATGTCCAGATCCATTCATCTATTAGAAATTGCAAAAATAGTGGTATTCTAATAATAATTCAGTCATTTCTACTTCATTGTTACACTAAAATACTCTGTGAGAAGAAAGTGTTCCCTGATCTACAATTTGGACATTTGGCTTTAACTGGTGTTACTGTTTCTGGGAGGGGAACATGTTAATTAACAAATGGGAAGTGATTAATTTATCTGATAAAAAGGTATGATGAATCATTTTCTTTAAGGTTGTAGAAACCCTTACCTTGAGGGAACAGGGGAATATAAATAAAACCAAGGGAGATGTGGTAAATGATGATCAGAAACCTGAGATATCTGGGAAGAGAAGTGAAGAAAGAAGAAACACAGGTGCATTAAGGTAACACTTCTCTAAGCCTATTCTTAGCTGGCATAAAAATCCCCATTTGGAAGCCCATCTTATGGCTTCAAATACTATTTATTTATTGAGGTCTCCTACATTCATACTTCTATTCAGGTCTCTCCCTGGGCTTGGCACAGTATCAAAACTCTACCTGACATCACTACTTTGATGTCTAAAAAACATCTCAAAGTTAACATATCTAAAAGGGAACCGTTAGTATTAACAGGCCCAAAATTGTGATTCATAACTTCCCTGTTTCAGTAAATGCTGGCACTATCCACCAGTTGCTAAAGCTCATACACAAACAAACAAACAGCAGGTATAATCTTTGGCTTTTCAAAAAGTGCTGTTGATTTTACCTTGAGATTATTATTTCTTCTTTCTATTACTAATCACATTACCCTAAACCAAATCACAACTGTTGAGAAACAACTGGACGAATTACAATTGTCTTCTGGCTTACCTTACCTTCTGTATGTTGGTCCCCTCTAGACCATTACAAGGACAGTGGCCTTTCTAAAATGTTAATCAGGGATCATGATGAGCTGATAATCACTGAAACAGTGTAATGGATTCATTAAACTAATGAATTATGATTATATTATTATGATTATTTTATCCTACCCTCTTATTATTTTGCTTCTCTGCTGACTTTTCAATGTTCTTAGAATAAAATTCAAATGTCTTGTCTAAGCTTGCCCTGTCTACGTGTCCAGCTTTATCTGATGACACTCTTCTTGTTGCCAAGGCCAAGGCCATAACCTGTCGGTTTTACAAACACTTTAAGCTCTTTCTTAATTTATAGCATTTGTATCTGTTATTCTCTCTAACAGAAAATGCTCATCCTGTAGCACTCTGCAAGGCTGGCTTCTTCTTCTCCTTCAGGTCTCAGTAAAAATATTGCCTCCTTAGAAAGGCTTTTTCTTAACCACTTAATCTAAATTATACAAATATACTTACTTAATGTGACAAGAAAGTAACTCAAATGAATATTAAAAGATATTTGAGGGCATGTACCTACTCATATTTCATTCTACTCTTTCATATCATTTCCAGTTCCTTGAAAAAATGGTGAATAAAAGACACATTTTAAAAATCTTGCTTCATAAACAAATATTTATAAACAAAATAAGATTTTGATCTTGTTTGCAAAAGTGGGTTTGCAGTTGTAAGAACACGAGAGTTTATTCTTGTATTATTTACTAATTATTATATTATTTTCCATGTAAACAACTGTAAACCTACTTTTGCCCCACCCTGTATAAATTGGTGAAGGAGAAATTATAATTAGAAATGTGTCTTTAAATACACTCTCACTTTGATTCTAGATTTCTCAATGTTTTTGAAGTGCTGAATAATTTTAAGTAACAGCCATTGTTTCAATAACTCATCTCTGGAATTATGTTCTATGTTATTAACATGACACCTCTCTCATTTTTAGGACCAATATATTTACGTTTTATCAGCTGTTAACTTTAGGAAACTCTCCTAACTTAAGAACTCATCAGGTATTTTTGCAGATTCTCTCCTCTGCCAATCATTGCCCTGATAGTGTCATAGGATTTATCTAAATTATGTCAGACCAAAAACAAGGTTACATAAGCCACCCTCCCAAATCAAGAAGCAGATGGAAACTCTTCTAGTCACTTGAAGGATGCCTATAGCATGACAGAATTTTACAACTGAAAGATAGCTTAGAGATCATGTAATAATCAAAGTTCCTCATTTTAAAAGGGGGTAAAACTGCTGTTCTAATATGTGAACTGACTTACTCTTCCCAGACATAATTTGCTAAGTTGGTATCTCAAGTTTTACTTTCAGAAGACCCTTAAGGAATTGCATAGGAAGTTAGTAGTATATCAAGATCTGGAGTGCAGGGCTTTTATGCCATAAGTCCCTTATTTTCCTTATATTAAGATAAACCCTCCTTTTGCCACCTTTCCTGTGTCTTTTCAGCCTTTAATTCTCAAATTATTCCAGTGGCCTCTGCTGTTCCTGTGATAGTGTCAAGATTTCAATAATTTCTTCTGTTTTTAGAAGTGGTTTGATTTACTAAAATACCAAACTAATAAACTCAATTGAACACATTTCAGATGGCACCTCCTTCAAGTCTATTAGCCTGTGGGTTAACAGCTGCACATGTTTTGTTCATATTCTTTAAAAACTTATTTGTGAATTTGATGGGTGTTGAGTGGAGAACAAAGACATCTCTTATGTAAATCAAATGGTTCATGCTAGGGTGCCAAATGGGTGCCAAATGGGTGCCAAATTGATAATGCTGTGGTAGGCTGGTCATTAGTGGCAATGCTGATTAAGCATTTATGGGTCCCAAGTCCATTATAACCACTGGGCACTCTGATGCACAACTCATTGTGGAGTCTAGAAACGTTTTAGTTTCCCTTATACAGGAGCCTACATTTCATAGTTAAGGCGACCAGGACAAGTCTGTATAAACTATTAAAAAATGCTCACATCTGCACACCTGGAATATGTCACCACAGCAGTTTCCCCATTTCCCTAACAGCTGATGACAGCCTAGCTTGCCTGTTCAGACAGTGGTGGAGCCTGACCATCTCCTAGTTCAGGGTTTTAAAATATTCCTATAACACAACAGGGATCTTGAAAACCCATTTAGATCCTTTTCTCTCTTCTAATGAGAGGAAATTTCCTCCTGTGTTTATGTAGTAGCAGATAGACTCTCTAACCTTCCATCATTGTTTGCTGGGCGCTCGGGCAAATTCTGTTTGTATTTCGATCCCTCACTATAGTACTCTCGTATCCCGGAGTTGAAGCCCACTTCCTTCCTGACCAACGTGACCAGGCATCGATCAGTCTGGCGGCTTTGGCATACTTGCGGGCTCTATCCCGAAGCTGCAAAGGTGTCCAGAGCTGAAGGACCCAAAGCCGAAGCCCGTGGGCCAGAGTGGTCGTAACTCTCGCGAGAGTTCTGGGGGTGGGGTGGGGGGGTGGGGGCAGCTGGGGGTTTGGGAGGAGGAGACCGAGGGTTGCACTGCGGTGGCAGTTCTCCTGGGACGGCTGGGCGGACCTTTCCCCGCCTCCCTTTCCTTCCCCTCCCTTCAAGAGACTCAAGCTGTGCGCTTCCCACTTCCGCTCCTCTGCCATTGGAACTAGCGAAGCCAAGCAAGTTGCGGACCCCAAACAGCTGCGGCTGCACTCCTCCACCTCCTCGTTTTCTCTCCCTTCTCTTCTTCCCCGGCTAACGCTTCCCCCGCCGCCGCAGCCCCGAGGCCTCGCCACCGACCGAGCCCACAGCCCACGCCACTGCCGACATGAGCTTCTTGTTGTGAGTAGCCAGGCTCCCCGTGCGCCCGCTTTGTTCAGGCGACCTGGGCCAAGGACCCCAGCCCATCTGGCCCGATGCTACCCGATCTGAATGTTCTCATCGATCGGGCCTCCAGGAACCTGCCCCTACCGCTCACGGTGTCTTACTGCCACCGCCACCTCCCCAGCCCTCTTCGAGCACGCGTGGAACTCTCCAGCCCCCAAGGGAGGCTCTGTCTCCCTGTACCCCAAGTCCCGAGACACCCTGGTACCTGAGCTCGCATTTATCCATCACCCCAACCTCTCTCTCCGCACTGCTTTTGGGTTTGTTTATTTGCCCGATCTGAATAAATACCTCCCACTGTCCGCATGACACATATCCAACGAGTACCCGGTCGCTTGTCTCAGTCTCTCTTGCCCATTGCTTTTTTTCTCTGGGTCCCAAGCACGGACGATGGAGCATTGTATTCCCTACCCCCTTGGGCTTTAGGAGTGAGCAGTTGGGGTAACAAGTCTTGTGAATGTAAGCCACTTAACGAGGCTGTTTATGGGCAGAGATTGCCTAGTGACAGCCTGGAGTCTTGGGGTCTGGAGCAGCTCCTTGCTTCCCTGAGAATGGGGGCTTTATCTTTTCAGACAACCACCGAGTAGGGCCTGGGTAGTGTGCATTGGGTTGATTAGGTCCACTGGGGAATTGTTTTGCAAATCATTTGTAAATGACAAGGTCACGTCACGTTTAGTGCTGTTTGTCATTTCCCATACTTATCGTTTATTACAGACGTGTTGGGGGTTGGGATATGAGCAGAAAGATGGCATGGCAAGATCCCATCTATGGAGGCAGCAGACAAGCCTTACATCCTCGGAAAACAGGACCTTGAACCCTGCAGAATTAAGACTTTTGAAGGCTTTGTTGTGATTATATTTACTCTGTGGTTAGAAAGCTAATAAAAACTCTGGAGATTGAAACCCACTCCATACTTTCCTTTACTATTGTAGAGAAAATAGTATTTAATAATTATTTTCTGTTCTGATGCTCTTCTTTCCCCACCTTACATTATTTTCAGTCATCACCTTGGCACCTGAATCCTGAGAATGTAACCCTTACTTTCAATGCTCATATCTAGAATATTAATTCTTTTTAGGGTGTTTAAGCAAAACTGAGAGATCCCTGAGAAGGTTAACCTTCAGGCAGACTTGCTGTTGTTTCTAACATGATGGGGAGTCTGCCTTTTGTCATTTGAGGTTGTGAAGCCTTTTTTTAAGGCTCATCCTAGAAGTCAAGTTTGTTAGATAGGTGGTGATAGATGAGAGGACTGGGTGACTTCATGAAAGTCTTCGTTTTCTATTTTAGTTTGAATAAACATATCTAGGCATCCCAGCTTGAAGCTTCTCATCTTGAGTCTGTTACATTGCTTATGTTTGGTTTCTTCAAGAACTTAAAAGCTGTCTTCAAAATAGTAAAGTAGATGATGTCCATGACTGCTGCTGCTGGACTTGTGTTTCTTGGAACTCATCGCTAAGTTGGATGAAGCAGGGAAGGACCATATTTGGTGGAAACTAGGAGATAGACAAGGTTTTGGTAGTATTTTCTGAATACAAATACAGTAGTGTCTCTTTTACATGGCTCAATATTTAATAGTTACAGAAATACAATGGATATGTTAATTTCCTCTAAGTATATTAGCTACCTAACAAAGATCTTGCCATAACTAATATATATAATATATATAGTATATATATGTTGTATATATTTTATATATATATCACATTAGAGGGTTTGTACTGTTTGGGGCATAAGTTTTTAGTCAGGTCACATGTAACAGCTAATGTAGTCTCAATATCTTTAGCCTGTGTGCCAAAAGAATAATCCAGCATTTTTTATTTTGATTTTTGTCCACCATTAGTTTAAAATCTGTAGTGAAGACTTTGTAGATAGAAATAACTATCAGAATGTAAAGAAGAAAGTTTTGGTTATTTCATCTGTTTGTTATTTGATATAGTTTCCTGGGTATTATTTCTGTACCAACAGGTGAGCAGAGAAAATAAGAGCTGTAATTTAGGAATGAAATAACAAATATTTTCCTCCAGTTCTTGGAAGCTTCTACGTAAATGGGTGGATCCAAGGAAATAAGGGCAATGCAAGATAAGGTTATAAAGGTGATGACTCATTACTCATGACAGCTTTGAGATAGAAGGAAAGAATTTTAGTTAAAAAAGAAAATCATTTGTTGTGCCAAGCACTGATATAGGCAATGGCTATCATTTGTGAACAAAATGGATAAAAATTCCTGCATTAGTTAAGCTTACATTGAGCAACCATAAACACTGAACATCAGTAAATTATATAGTATGGTGGGAGGTCTTAAATGCCATGGGATAATGTAGAACAGGGTGAAGAGGTTTGTTTGGATAGGGAGGTAAGGTAGATTAGCTAATCCCTAGAGGGTGTCCAGATAATCTGCCACAGTGATTCCTTTGAGTAGCTTTTGTACAAATGATCAGAATAAATTTGCACCGCATACGTGGACCTGACTGGGACAAAGCTTTGGTTGTGCTGCAAACTGGCCTCCCTGTATCTTCCAGTTAAGCTGTAAACTTCCAGATGGTGCATAGGGAAACTTCAAGGGAACCTAATTTAACTTTGTAGACTCAAATTTCTATTTTTATATGTATTTAGTTTTTAAAAATATGTTATTTATTTATTTTTAGAGAGAGGGCAAGGGAGGGAGGAGAAGGAGAGAAACATCTATCAGTTACCTCTTATCTGTGCCTCACCAGGAACTGAACCCACAACCCAGGCATGTGCCCTGACTGGGAATTGAAAGAGCAACTTGTTGATTTGCGCGACGACGCCCAACCAACTGAGGCACACCAGTAAGGGTTGAAGACTCAAATTTTTAAACACAGCCTCAGCACCTGCTGTGTTCTAGGCATTGTGCAAAATGCGGGACTCCAGAGACAGTAGACATTTTATAAACAGCCATCTGTAATAGATGTAATATAGTCATGGGTCCAAAGAATATGGAGGAATTTACTGTATTTGGGCTGGAGGGAAGGTTTCTAGAAAGAATTAATGGACATTAATGGAAGATATAACAAGTTTTCTAAAAGGGGAAGGTGAAAAGGAGTTTGCGGTCAGGGGAAACATGGAGGCATAAAAAATTGCCTGTGAATTCTCCATTTTCAGGTTTGTCTAAGAGGCTATTGAATTTTGAAGCTAGATGGGATCTATCAGTCATATTGCTTCCTCACCTGTTTTTCTAAAGTGGCAAAATCACCAGTTTCAGGTTACTGGCCTAATTATTGGCCTGGATAGAATTAGAATACAAGTCTTTTAGCTTGGTATTTTTCATTTCCTGATATTTTATGCATATAAAATATAGGGAAATTTTGATCAGAGTAAGTTTTGTTTTTTTTAAATTTTATTTATTTATTTTTAGAGAGACAGGAAGGGAGGGAGAAATAAACATAATGTGCGGGAGATACATTGATCTGTTGCCTTTGACCTGCAACCCAGGCATGCACTCCCACCAGGGATCAAACCAGAGACCTCTCAATTCGCAGGCTGGCACTCAGTCTCCTGAGCCAAACCAGCCAGGGCAAAAACAATTCTTAACAATTATTCAAAAAGGGTGCTGAGTGTTTTCTGTGTTTCTAGCATTTTTAAATTGTAAGTCCCTTCTCATTGATGGAATTCCACAGAGACATTTGACTTACAAAAGAATTAAAACAAATAATAGTTAACTTTAAAATGCAAGTCTGTAGGAAAGGTGGTTTAGGGATGTGAATGAATATAACGCAGTTCTATTTCTGTATAGGAAAAAACAGGATTGAGGAAGAAAGAAAGGAAATATTTATTGAGCATTATGCTATATATAAGTAACTTCCATCTATCTTTTCAAAAGAATAGCAATTTAGGAAAAGAGATCCAGGATTTTGCTGTATGACTGTCTCTTGTCTTTCTGTCTCTCTCTCCGACCTCTCCTTTTTCTATTTCCTCCATCTCTGTCTCACTACCCCCACCCTGCCCTATCCCTTCCCACCATCGTAGTTTTCTGGCATATGGTTTTAGTGCTTTAGCATCTTCACCTGTAAAAGAAGAGGAAGAAGATGATAATGTTAACAACAACAATAATAATAATAAATAGCTAGCTAAGTACTATGTGCCTAGCATAACAGATACCCCATTTTACAAATGAAGAAACTGGCATAGAGAGGTTAAATAATATGCCCAAAATTATGTAGCCAGTCAATAATGTAAATGGAATCTGAACCCTGCCAATCTAAATCCAGAGATCTTGCCTCATACTGCTTTATTTATAATTGATAAAATTATATTAAAAGGTGATTTTCAAATAGGTCTTGTTTTTACAATGAGAAATCTTTAATATCTCATACTATTGGGACCAAGAATATAATGGTAGAAGAGAAAATAGAAACCTTTAAATTTAAATAATACTCTAAAATTAATTTTTAGTTCCATTTTTAAGTGTAAAAATGATACATGTGTTGGAGAAATCACAAAATACTGTTAAGGAAATGAAGAAAAAAAATCACTCATAATCACATTCAGAGATAATTATTTGTTTTTTGATGTAACTTTCTAGTCTTTTCTGTTCTATTTTTGTTTGTATATATTTTAAAATAAACAAATGTATCCCTATTGTATACAGACAGGTTTTTCACTTGTAAATTTTTTTTTAAAGATTTTATTTATTTATTTTTTAGGGAGGGAAGGAGGGGAGAGGGGGGGAGAGAGAGAGAGAGAGAGAAACATCAATGTGCGGTTGCTGGGGTTATGGCCTGCAACCCAGGCATGTACCCTGGCTGGGAATCGAACCTGGGACACTTTGGTTCCCAGCCCGCGCTCAATCCATTGAGCTACGCCAGCCAGGGCTCACTTGTAAATTTTTTTATGGCAATAGATACACTTCTGCAACATCATTTTGAATGGCTGCCGACCAAGCATTGTCTTATTGGACAGTGCTAGGAATTACATACCCACACATAATCTGTCCAGGT